ACCATGTTATTACCTACCTTTTCACAACACTAAAAATTTGCCATCCAAGGCAGCTGCTTCATTCTGTCTAATGGTTGCTGAGTTTCCTCCAAATTTTTCCTTTTAACCATATACAAATATATACCAATTTCACAGATGCACTAATCCAGCAAAAATCATTCTGATAGACTAAGATGTCTTTAATCAATAGACAGCCTTTACACACACAAAAGAATGATTAAAAATGGGCAGTGTCATCTTGCACCCAAGACGTTATAGAAAAAAGAAATAATGTTCTCTGTTTTGACTGACCTGCTAGAAGAATCGCTTTTTGAGATCCCTGATGGTTCCTGAATGGATCCATGGATTCTTGGTCCTCCAGGTAAAGTCAGTGGAATTGGTAAGACCACAAGTAATAGAATCTTCTTCTTCTCCTGAGATCTCTCTGGTTAGCGCCCTTTGATGTTGATGTGATAAGGCCCCTGGCTCTTCTGCTTTTGTCGAGCAGAGGGCCGGAAGGAAGGAAGAGCCGTTACACAAGGCAGGCAGGGTGATGCTACAGCGATCACAAACACTTCCTCTCACTCTTCTGTTGTTTTGGACAGTTACACCATCTAAAATGACTAAGGTAGAATTTCTGCTTCATTCTGTCTAATGGTTGCTGAGTTTCTTCCAATTTTTTCCTTTTAACCATATACAAATATATACCAATGAGAGAGAGGGACTGGCCCAAAGTCACCCAGCTGGCTTCGTGCCTAAGGTAGGACTAAAACTCATGGTCTCCTGGCTTCTAGCCTGGTGCCTTAACATCACCCCCCACCCCATGAGGAGACAGCTGGAAATCTAGGAGCTCTAATCTTGTATTTCAGGGTTTTCTCAGAGATCCCCAAACAGTTTACATTTTCTGGATTAATAATGATTTGGTTTGAACCTTGATTTTGTGAAGGTACTTGCTTTGGTCCCTTTGCAGAAGGAAAGAGGGAAGTGTAACCCACTGAGTAATTTGCTTTGGGAGGGGTGGAGACACATGGTTTATGGGCCAAAATAGACATCTAAACCACTTAATATGGAGGAATTCTGCCAATTTCTTCTCCCATACAATCTTCTCTAGGTTAATTGTATTGTTTTCTCCATCCTGCTTTGCCTCCAGCACAGGCTGAGGAAGGACAGAGCCTGTGTGTGCTTGTTGCCTCTTCTCTAAGATTACAATGAAGAGAATAACTCAGTGTGTTGTGGGAATCCAACCATTGTCTTAATATGTCATGTGAACTAGGCCATTATATAAACCACAAAGTGGGTTACCTTTAGAGGTATAATGTTTTCTGTGAATGTGGCAGTTGGGTTTTGTTAACCCAAGTTTAGATTCAACATGTTGTATGAATCCAGCGGGAATATAATGTAGAAGGTTGAAAGTCATAACCATGGCTCTGTTCATTTAGGGTCTGGCCACTCTCAGTACTAGAAAGACTCCCCCAACAGATCTGGACAATGTCTCCTTAATCCTTTTGTTGAGGAACCTGACCCGCTTTTCTCCACGTATCTTTCAGGAAAGAGCCACCTGCCTGAACACTCTTCTTTTGTCAACTGACCAGGAATGAAACCATCAGTTCTTGTGCCCTTAATGAAGTTTAGATGAAAATCCTGGTTCATGAGTACTTTGAGATAAACAGAACACTTTGTATAAGAGGGTCCTGACTGGACATAAGACACCAGTAAAGCTGAGCTCATCCTTACTTATCCCCTAGTACAGGTTTCTCAACCTTGGCTACCTTAAGCTGTGTGGACCTCAACTCCCAGAGGCTGGGGAATTCTGGGAGTTGAAGTCCACACTTCTTAAAATGGCCAAGGTCGAGAAAGACCACCCTGGTAGAACACAACCATGCTTTCTCATCTCTTCTTGGCCTCTTTGCCAGTTGCACAATTGCAGCTGGTGTCCGTGTGGCAACATGTGGCTATGAGCTTTGCGGACAAGATTGGGAAAGGCATTTGCTGTTAGCGAGTTTGTTTCCCCATCATCATCCCCCTCATCTCAACCACAACTGATGAAAGTCAGGAAAACAACGAGATGGAAGGGCTAGGCAGGTGACAGAAATAAGTTGGGTCATCTGGTCTCCCGCTGGAAAGGATTCTCCACCAAGTGGTCATGTCGGAATGTGTCATCATCATGTTGTTTTTTTAATCCACTCTTAAAAGGGGCAAGGTTTATATCATCAGGCATTCTGTTTCACAACTATTTTCAACATGGAAAAAGATGGTCATTTAGGTTCATCTGAGAAAAACATCGTTTCTGTCAAACTTTTCTTAGAGTCTCAACTGGAAAACAGTAAATCCACAGAACAAGCACCTGAGCTCTTCAATTAATAGCTGTTATTAGAATGAAGATTAAGGTCCCCACACAACAGTCCTAGCAAGGACTCTACTTTCAAATGAGACCCCCATAGATAGGCAGAATTTTAATAAGCATCAGCCCTTTTAACAATGTGAGAACTCTCATTCTGTTCCCACAAACATACAGTATTCATTCTATTCGCCCCCCTTGCCCATCCCTAGAGTTACAGTATACCCTAGATATACCCAGTTGTCCTAGATTTTAATGTGCATTGAATTATTTATCCCTTGTCTGAAGCATGAAGGAACCGTCATACAAGTTCTCATCAGCCCAAGTAGTTTTTCTTCTGCCCAATAAGTCTTTCCACTTCATGAAAGTGAAAAATGTGCCATAGAGTAAAAGGAGAATTTCCACCCAGGTCTCTTGGTAGATACTTTTTCCATTGGATTTTAGAACTGTGTGTTCTGTTTCCAGATCCCAACAAATCAGTCCGGGTGACCATTACAGAGCCCTCCAAGGATGTTCTAACAACCGCTAGGATCTAATTTTCAAGGAGGTAGCCTCCAGTCCCAGTTACTTCTGCTATTCCTTTATCCTAACCATCCAGTTGAACTGAAAAGCACAAAAGCAAATTGTATAATCCTGGGTGACTAAGTTTATATTGCAAACAGGATAAATCTACAACATGAACGTTGCCCAACGTTGTGCTGCTTAGTTCAGGATAATATGCAGGATTGCTTCATCCCCATTTCCTTTTTGCTGCATCTTCCTCCAGGTTCCCTCTCCTCCTCTTCCTCTTCTCTCTAGGTGTTAGTCACTGATGGTCAGGGAAAATGGTCCTCCTGCACTCCTGTTTTTGCCACCTGGGCTTGAGTCAGGATGTTCGATGATTGCAAGGAAAGTGCACAGAGAAGGACAAGTTCGTTTTAACTCCAGGAGAGCAGTAAAATGACGAGAGGGGAAGTTTAATTCATCTACCCTATACCCTTTCCCCAACTCCAATTTTTTTTTTTTTTGGTCTCATCAGTCATCATGAAGGTGAGATATGAATCAGATAGCTTGTTGACTGGTCCAAGTGAAATGTGATGGTATTTTTTGTGGCTGAATCAGGGTCCACGTCAAATATCGGAGTGGTGCAAACCCCAGAATGCATGACTATGTGTTCTGAAATAGACACCTTGTTCTAGAATGGTCCTGCAAAACACTGGTTTTCCTAGCCATTCCACTTCTGTCTCCTTTTCCATTCCCCCTGCCTCAACAGGCAATGAAGGGGGATGAAAAATAGGAGGGAGGATGGATCCCTTCCTCCATTGCAGGGATACTGACCCCAACTGAGATATAACAGACTTGGGATACCAGCAACTCAGCTTCCTAGCCATCTTTGGGGGCCATACAACTTACCAGGACAATGGTGATTCAGGTAGGTTGTTATTACCTGGAGGTAAGACATTTGCCCAGGTAACCAGCTGACTTGGTCAATTGTATTGTGCAATGGAGCTAAATTATGCCAGTGAATAGGCTATGGAGGTTCTTATGCCTCAGGGGTGGTTTTAGAAGGCCATTCCCAAGGCCTGTACCACAACAGGGGGCCTCCTGCACACCTGAGGAACTCTCAGCCTTCTTGCCTTTCTTCATTACTGTTACTTTTCATCTCTTTCTCCAGAAAGAAGGAGAAGGAACATCAGTTATGCTTCCTTTGCCCTCAGCATCTGGGTGGATGGGGATCAGAGCAAGAGGGCATGTGGATAGGTGGGATCTTGTAATCTGAAGGTGGGATCATCCCAAGGATATATCAAAACCCAGACCCTCTCTCTGGTTAAAGAAGAAACCCACAGAAGTGGATTCTGGAAGATTTTATTTTCATGAGGAGATCCAACAAATTCTTTTTATCTCCAGATCTGGGTGGGTGTCCTGGTGCATAAGTTGCATTGGGATATCCTTGATTGTTTTATTGAGCTGTCCAAGTAGGGGGCAGATTTCTCTTTAGGATGAATATGTAGTTCATAAAGTCCACAGGGATGGCAGATGTTTTTCCGTACTGGCAATCTTCTGGATGTGGTCTCTATTTTGGACCACAAAGAGCTGTTCTAGAATCAGGTCATGGAAACTGGAAGCAGAGGTATCTACAGCCATCAGTAACCACGAAGGTTGCAAAATGACCATACGTGTGTCATGGTATCACAACCCAAACTCTGGCCTTTCATAGTTCTGTTCCGACAGCAGATGCAAATGCATAAGTCACAAGGTTGGTGTTGTGTTGTCACAACACACATTTTGTCACTTCTCTCTTTTGCTCACTGCTAATGCCTATGATTGTGGGCCTTCTGGTTTTTAATTTTACTTCCAAGGGACAAGGCTGTAATTCAGCAGGTTGTGTCTGCAGACAATTGTGGGTTGAATCCCAATAACTCCAGTTTGAAAAAGAGGAACGGGTAGTAATTTCTCTAGATTAGGAGGGGGTTCTAGTTTTTCTTCAAATGAGGGTATGCGAACAGCCTCTTGTAGATTGATACTGAGTTCTGGTCAGGGTTACAGCGTATAAGTTTCAGTAGAATGCCTAAGGAAAGAAGAGCAAGGGGGAAGCTAAGGAATACTGAGAATAAATACCTTTGGTCTGCATTTCTACATCACTAGAACAGATCAGGGGCTTAATTTTTGGAGTTTGTGGGCAGGTTTGGAATTTTAGGAGCGTTTGGGGGACAGTCTCCCAACATGATTTCAAGGAGAGGCTTGCCTGTTTATAATACGGCAGCTGTGAGGCACGTGGAATTGAAAATCTTTGAAGATGCACAGTATTTGAAGACTGGGCTCCATAGACAGTATGACATCAAAAGCATCAACCTGCATGCAATCACATCTTTGGGTACTACTCTGTTCTCTGCCTTATCTTCCTGGTAGCATCATCATTATTATTATGGTTAAAATGCCCAAGGAGCAAAAGGCAAACCGTTGAGTTAGCACCAATCTCTCTACCTTTCCAAAGGCACTCTACCACTCTACTTTATCTTTGCCTTTTTCTCAGTAGTTGGATATATTTCCAATGAAAGCTACCACGTTTATTTTCTAAAAGTGCCTTTAGGGCAGTGTTTCTCAACCTCAGCAACTTTAATATGTGTGGACTCCAACTCCCAGAATTCCCCAGCTTTCTAACAGGCTAAT